GGAGGCCCCGCCCCTGCACCCTGGGAGCCGCCAGGCCGCCTCACCTGCAGAAGCTTGGAGGGTGCTCGCTGCCTCGCTAGGGCACATGGCTTCGTCCTCCCGTGGGGACAGGCGGGCTTCTGCCGGGGTGACTCATCCTTCACCCCCAGCTCCCCAGGCGGCACACCCGCCCCCCCTGCGCCGTCTCCGTCTCCCTCCTTCCCAGCCCAGCGCTCTCCCGGCGATTCAAACGCTGCACCTCCCCGAGGTGACCCCGCCCAGCTCTGGGCACGGCAAACCCCGCGGCAGAGTCCCTGCCCACTGCCCACTGCCCAGCGGCTCCAGGGCTCCTGGGAGCGTGGCTCCTGTACAAGCCATGTGTGCGTGTGCATGCGTGTGTGTGCATGTGCGTGTGATGTACCCACAGATAAGGCCCCATGAGGCCATCACACACCTTCTGGGTGTCGTGCCCCAGCCCAGGAGCGGCTCCCAGGTTGCACAGTTAGGACGACTGCTGGTGGGGATTCACAGTTTTGTGGGTGCAGAGAGAATTGTGTGCGTGTCTGTGTGTGTGTGTCTGTGTGTGTGTGTGTGCACGCGTGTGTGTGTTTTAAAAAACTCTCCGCCCATGAACCAGCCAGGGCAGCGGCGTTTGCCGTGTGCGCCCCGGGGATGCCCGCGCTGCTGTGTGCGTTGCGACAGGCTGGCGGAAATTCTGGTTCAAACTCCACTTCGAGCCAAGATTCGCCGTAAAGAAGCCAAAATTGGTTCATTTGAAGTTTAATGAGTGGTTCGCCGCCGAGCAAGCTCAGGCACAACTGCCTCTCACCAGCCCCCGCCCCAGCCTCGGTCCCGAAAACACGGCCCCACACGGGATGTCTGGGCACCGTCTGGGGTCCGGGAGGGGCCCCCCCTGGGCCCGGGGGAGTGGGGGCCTAGCCCGAGCCTGCCCCCAGGACCTCAAGTCCCTGTGCCCTGTGAGGGACAGGGAGACGGCTCCCCCAGTCTGCGGGCCCACCCCCATCTGCCCAGGGAGAGGGACGGGTCTGCCAATGGAGGTGGGAGAAGGGAGGCCCGAGGCTGAAGGTAAAAGTCCCAGCTGTCCCAGCAGCAGGAGACACGCTGGCGAATGGCGCTACGGGGTTAGGGCTCCCCCATCTCCCTGGGGAGCAGCAGCGGGGCTTGGGGTCGGGTCAGATGGGATCTGGGGAAGCTTCCAAAGCCACAAAAAACCCCCATGTAGACAGTGTCTCCTTAACCCCCACCAGCCCCTGGTCAGCACCCCTGCAGGGACAGATCACCTCTGCAGGCCAGGGCTCCGGTCGAGATCCCTGTGGGCAGCGACATCCCCTGCCCCCCACACTCTGGGCCAGTTCAGGGAATGGCCCCCCAGCCCGGAATTCTTCACTAGGAGATCCCTGATGGGCCCCAGGGGCTGGAGAATCTCGTGGATGACACTGAATCAGGGTCCCAGTCTGTCCAGCGGGACCAGGGACGTGTCCTGGGGGGAGGGTGGCCCTACACCGCCGCCGCCAAGCCCCCCTCGCGGGCACCAGAGCGGGTGCCCGGGATACAAAGGAGCTCGAGGAAGAGGCGGAGAAGCCAGCGGCCTGGGAGGAGCAGGGGAGGCTGGGGTGGAGCTGACGGGGCGGACAGGGAGCTGATGAAACAAAGCCGCTCAACCAGACGCACCAGCTCGCTGACCTCACCGCCTCTCCCAGCCCCGGAGCCGATGCCGCCGGGGCCTGGCCCCTGTGGGAACCTGGCCACAGGTGGGGGCCCGGGACACACCTGCAGGGGCAGGCCGGGGAGCCCCGTGT